TGTTAATATTAATATTAATAAGTAGGTAGATTGTAAGTTTGTTGCATTTTAGGTTATTTGTTGACTTATTACTGTTTCAAACTGGTTTTCTAATAAAAATCTAGAAAAATAAACCAAACATTTTTCTTTTTATGATTTCTATAACGTATAACGTATAACTCACTAGTGACTTATAGGCCACAATATTCCTTTAAAACCAAAGAAATTATAGTATTATATACGAGTGTTGGATAAAAGTTAATTTAAAATAGATTTATTAATATCGCAACTAATATTGACAGCAACGCTGATAAAGTCAGTAACAGACTTGATTGAACCATTATTTGTCTCTATACATATCATTTTATATCTTTTGAACGGGAAGAGATATCGTAAAACTTGGAGAAATATTTCGATGCAATTTTAAGTGAAATATTTGTATAATGCCACAAAAAATCCCGCTTATGGTTTCCCATTTGCTCTGTCCATTTTCCTGCAATGGCGGCTAGGCATCAGCCTTGTATCACCCTGTACAGCGATTTGTGTCATTAAAGTTATTAAAAAAATACTCCCTTCTTCTGTCAATTGAGTTTTTGTACCTCGACGTATTTACTGTATGTCAACGAATTACCTGACTTCTCTTCCAAGCAAGTAAATAAAAAACTTTAATTTTTAAAAAGTCTCTCACATAACATGCCCCGCGAAAGGACACGTATCACGTAAAGGCGGTAATGTAGAAGGATATTTTATGTCCCTTGCTATTTAGAGCTTGTTTTTTTTTCGGCACACTTTCTAGAATATTTCAGCACGGACCCTTTTAAATATTCATTCAATATGCCCGTACATTTTCGAGATAATGCTGGTCATTATAAGCGTCGATATTCCTTGAGCCCTAAGTACGTAAAACTAGAAAGTAAGTACGTCATAAAATTCTTCGAGCCTTTTTATAGATCAATAGCACTAAATTCTATAAGCTGAAGATAAATTGGATGCCATCATCGCCTTTGTTAAGTGCTAGTGCTATCCCACAGATGATATATTCAGAGCTAGATCGTTTTAAAACCAGAAAAATCCGTCATTGACAGATTGTGCCACGAAGAATTTTATCAGAAACTTCCAAGTTGGAGTTTATATAAACAAATTTCCGCATTTCCACGTAAATGCCGACTTCTATTCGTATTTATAGTGTTGGAAGGGTTCCAACTGAGATTATTATTCACTACGGCGGTCCTGCATGCTGTTCAAAACGCATTCCAGTTAGAGATACAAAATTAAATTTAAATTGGGTCTCGCAAGCGCTCAGTAGCAGAGCTTTTTGTATCCCGTTCGCAAGTTTCCATCTAAAGTGTAACTTGTACCTCACAATTCTTAACATGTTCTCCTGACGCAGCAAAATGCATTCTTATACATTTATTTACATTCGTTGCGTCTCGAAAAAGAATGCGAATTATGCAGCCACGTATGTAGGTGTAAAACGAAACGGAGTACTTCTACAAATCTCGTTATCTTGCCTGCTATAAGGTAGCACCGAGGAAGACAGGCATTCGAGAGATCAGCGTAAGAAATATAGCAATGTAGGTCTCCTGTGAATGACTACGTACTCATACCGCCTTGGGGTCATAGCGGAGTCCATATGTACGAGTATAAGTGCGCTCCAACCACCCACATTACCCCGTACCGTTATAATATACCGTGTTCTCACAATGCTGAGAATACTACCGTTCTTGGTGATACGGATGCAGCGCGTTTCATCACACATCAGATAGGAGAGTCAGTTATTACACTGTAGTAGGATCATATTCGATGCAAAGTAATAAATTATTGCCTGTCAAGGGATCCAGTGCCATACGCTTTTAAGGGTTTTAGAAATTGAATAATTTCTTTATATATTATTATTATATATATATATACAGGGTGGTCCGAATTTTATGCAGGAAACTTCGAGGGTAGATAGATCTCTTTAAAATAATATGTTTTTGCCTTATAAACATTGGTCTGGAACAGCCCCGTTTTAGAGATACAGGGTGTTGAAGTTGTTAAAAAAAATTGATTTTTTGTTTATTTCTCCGGAATCTATTAACCGATCTAAATAAAATTTGGTACAGATAATGTATGACAGTAGGCCTTGCATTCTCTAAAATATTCGATTTAAAGGTTCAACCAGTGGTGTACAACTGGACAGGGGTCACCCCCTTTTTTACAAAAAACCTATGCCACTGCATTTTTTATAAGTTATTGTAACGTATGTATATTCTAATGCACAAAATACGTAAAAAAGGTAACTTACATTTTTTCCCTAAGATTCGCCGTTCTCAAGTTATTCAAACCAATACTTGCCTTGTGGCTGACATTTCTAACCATGATATTTTAAGAATATTTATGCTTATGCTTAAAAGTAAGTGCAATTTGTAAGCACATCAACAAAATTGTTTACACCACCTGTGAGGTAGTGTTCCTGGGTGTTTTAGTTTAAATTAAATCAAAATAATAATAAATATATATTTGCCAAGCAGCAGCAACTAAACAAGAAACAAAATTAACTTTACATATTTACAACAATTGTATTACACTCGTCTTCTATTCGTTGCAGTAGTTGTGGTTTTGTATCTGTTGGAGTAGAATAAACTTTACATTTCAGATAACCCCAAACATAGAAGTCCAGGGGGCTTAGATATGTCAATCTGGCTGGCCAAGACACTGAACCCTCATAATTATGGTTGACATTGGCATTTAGTCTTCTACCTATCCATCGACCCAAATAATTAAGCCATTCTTATATTATTCTCCCAGAATGCGCAGGTGCACCATACATTGTATTCAGCTTTAATGGAACATCCTCTAATAATTCAAATAGATGGTTTCTTAGAAATGACTGGGAATTTAGACGGATTTAGAAAGGTCCACAAACTTTATTGCGAATTAATCCGAGCCAAACGTTCACAGAAAATTCGTGTTGAAAAGATCTTGTACGAATTTCATTAGGATTTTCTTGTGACCAAATATGCAGGTTGTGAAAATTCACTACCCTTCGCCTTTGGTAAATGTACATTTATTACTATTTTGATTTAAGTTGTCCTTATTTGTAAAGATGGTGGGTTAGGCTTCCAGGGGAAATTAAAATGCGTAAGGAACTAAGGTGTTTCCACACCACCTTAGTTCCTTACGCATTGTAAAGAATTTTGTTGATGTGCTTACAAATTGCACTTACTTTATACCATAAACATAAATATTCTTGTAATATTATGGGTAGAAATGTCTGCATAAGGGGATTATATTGGTATGAATAACTTGAAAACGGCGAATCTTAGGGAAAAATTCAAGTTACCTCTTTTACGTATTTTGTGCATTAGAATATAAATACGTTACAATAACTTGTAAGAAATGCAGTGGCGTAGTTTTTTTTTGTAAAAAAGGGTGACCCCTGTCCAGTTGTACACCACTGGTTAAATCTTTAAAGCTTATATTTTAGGGAATGTAAGGCCTACTATCATACATTATCTGTACCAAATTTTATTGAGATCGGTTAATAGATTTCGGAGATATAAACAAAAACTCATATTTTTTTTAACAACTTCAACACCCTGTATCTCTAAAACGAGGCTGTTCCAGACCAATGTTTATACGGCAAACACATATTATTTTAAAGAAATCTATCTGCCCTAGAAGTTTCCTGCATAAAATTCGGACCACCCTGTATATTATCAAGGGATCAGTTCACGTCTGGCACCCTTGTTCCTACAAAAATTCCTTTATTCTCATAAACTATTTATTTTAAATGTAATTTATTATAAATCCAATTTGTTTTCTAAATTCCACATGTGTATTACATTTTACCTCTGTACTGTATAAGATCCACTTCTTATTTGTGGAAGGGGAAATGAGCGTTGACTATTAGACGCCTTCATTATAGCCATCCTTGTCTATCACATGGATTTCTATCACGTAACTTTTGATAGACCATCGGTACTTTCCTACACTGTATAGGGTGTTCCATTAATTTTTTTTTCTTTAATGTAGTAATTTCCATTATTCAATTGTTTTTTTGTAATACTGTAAACAGTAAACAGTATGTGCAAACATTTTCAAAATATTTAAAGATAAACCTCATTATGATATTGATATTAAAGAATACTTTTACATATCTCTATTTTTTGTTATTTTTATTGTGGAAAGCTTATCTTAAAGCGTATATGTATAGAAATAGCGTCTAAAACACCTTGTCGTTGACAATATCCATTACACAACGATGACGCGGGAAATAGAACCACTCAAGAGAAATAAAAATAGATGTTTGTTTATATCAGTCCATCTGATCACGACAAATGATTACAATTGTGGGGGATTTTTAATCCATCCATCTCAGACGATAACAGCAAGTTGGTTACTAAGGTGAAACTCACTTGTAAGTCTCTTTTACGGGGTTGATGGTTACGGATAGTTGATATAATCTACCCCTCGTTCTAATCGCAAGTACTAGCCCAGATGCCGGAGACTTGTGTATTATTATTCAGCAAGCCGCATGTGCGCCCAGGAAAGACTAACAATCATCCACTGCACTAAGTCAGCGTTCTTCCACCCTACCATATCCGCAAAGAGGGCGCCTGATTTATTAAAAATTTATTTTATATTTCATTTAAATTTACAGTATATTTTTACAATAGCAATGTTGCGGTTGAAAGCTAATGCGGTGTGGTGTGAATAAATGATAAAAGCTTAGGCAACACGATATAGTTGTGCGATAACGGGTTGCCTATACATCATGTTCCAATTAACGATGATAATGACATTGCCGATGATGATCCAATCCAAACCAACCTATGTGATACAGTTACTGAATTATTAAAATCTATGATTACCACATTCTTGGTCATCGCCAATTAATAAATTGTAACGTCAAATACCTGTAAGGACAACGGCAGCGAAATATCCTTTAGAAACTTCAGTCAATCGATATAATAAGGTTTCCCTTGTTCTAAACTTTGACATCGTATATAATTACATAGCTACGGTTACTGACTTACCATTTTTTTCACTGTCTGAGTCGCAGTCTTGTAACGGAGACGATTCCCGTACGCAGGACATTAAACTGAGAGGACCTGCCCCTGAGTGAGTCCCGACGGCTGCAGATGACATCTGAAGGAGAAAGAAAAGACAAAAAGAAATTAGACGTTCGGTACCGTTTTCACTATCTAATAATTTATTATCAACGATCTCGTACCACAAAAAACTGAATATTATATTGTGTTACGGAAATATCTAGGACGAGCTTTCTAAAAGGTAGAAAAAAAAACTTCGTTCTCATGTAAGTATTGACACACATTTAGCGGGCTAGCAGCAATTTAGGAAGGAACTAAAATAGCAGCGGGATAAAATAACATTTTCAAGGTTCGGAGTTTGTTAATTTTTTATGATAACTCTGGAGAGCTTATTGCAATTGCATTTCTTCGGTGTTGTACACGGAAATACAATATTAAATAATTGATACATTATTCAGAACATGTACATAGTGTACTTCGATATTTTACTTTCATATACTCAAGGTGAAGTGGCGGATAAATAATTTCTGCCTAGAGCGATCTGTTCTGAAACAAATATCAATAATAAATATCATACGGGATACACTGAACATGTTACATTAACCATCTCTTTATTCATAACCCGAGGTTGCATCTTATAACGGTAGCTTTGAAATATTTTCACTCACACCATTTGAATAATCAAAGGAAATAATATACAGGGTGTCTTATTTCGTCCTCATATTTGTAACTATGGGACCAGCCTGTTTCTAAAGTTATATTGAATAACAATCCATTTTTTTAACGCGTACCATTATCTTAGTGTCCATCCACATTATTCACTATAATTTTAACATGTTCAGTATACAAGAACATACAGACTATACAGGGTGATTCACAAAAAAAATTTGGGAATATATGCGGCATGAGAAATGGAGTCAATATCTTAAAAAAAAATTGTAAAATCCTTATAGTTTCCGAGAAAAAAATATTGAAATTGTAGTACATTCAACCATTACATAGCTGGACAACTGTAGTCTCTAGCATTATTCGCAATACACCTGGAGAGCCACGTGGCTTCAGAGACTCCGAATACTGGAATCAGATTTTACAATCGTCGTTGCGTTAGTGTTTACCTGTTATCTGTGGTGTTTATAATAGTTTTTTAGTAGTTACTGTCACAAATAGCTTGCGTGTATAGCAACTTGGGAGTTGATGGATATCAATTTAATTGATGGTAAAGCGAGACAACATTTTGTATTATGATGAAGCATTTGTGTTATGGTGAAGTAAGACAACATTTGTGTTAGTTCGTAGAATCTGAGTAAGATGGACCCAAATGTGTTTACACGTCGGCGGATAAAGATTTGAACAGTTGTTGTAACATTAGGTAGGATGTCAATTTATTTTATTATTTAAAACCACCACAAATTAATTTTATTAATTAATAATAACAATAACGGCAAAATCAGTTGAATTTGCTGATATAAAATAGGTGCTATAAAATTTTATTTATTTCTTTTCTTGTGAAAGTTTTTGCCCATTTTTATCACACTTTGCCGCCATGCCGGTCGCATTGTGCGTGGTCAGGTTTTACAGTGGACCAGTTTCCAGTGTCGTGCAGAAGTGTAATTTTAAATCATTTTCATACTGCCCTTTTTGATTTTTTACCTATAAAATTGTATCTGTAAGAGTCCCCCGTACATCCAATTTTTTATTTTTTTTTGATAAGTTCTGAATCACCCTGTATACAAACTTGGAGAGTATATTTGAATATTTGAAGTGAAAACTTGCTACAATAATATGAAGAAACATTTTTGGAACCTCTGACTTCGTCGATAGCTTGGCTGGTATGTTTATTGGTACTTATTAATAACACACACCCCAATCAAACCGAATAAAATGATAAACTAAAAATAAACTATCCTCTGTTCACCACAAAAAAACCGGAGTGGCATCTACGGCCACATCTATTTTTATGTGGGGGACGATTCCAGAAGTCCTCAATAAGTTTTAATAATTTTCATTTAATTTCATTTTCATTTGATTATTGAAGGCACTTATTATTCTAGTTTCATTATTCAGTATTCAATAAGTTTGTATAATGTTTTTTCTCGTCTACTGTATTCTGATTGTTAGAGAAATCAACAAATCTTTAAATTTGTATACTTTCTAAATGTTTCGACCTTTTTTCAGTGATAAAATTAACTGTTTTTGTAAATTGACTACCAATCAAATTAATTCCAATAATATCACCGTATATAGTAACAACAACAACGTATATTTTGATTTTATTTCATACATGACTATTTACTGTTATACATCTAAATAACATCGAAAAATGTAAGGGGCGCTTCTCTGATGAAAATTAATAGGGGTCTTTGGTATAAAATTTTTTGAAAAAACTCTCCCCTAAAAAGTTATGCCTCTCCAAAAATTTAAAAAAAATTGTTTTTCCTATATAAAAATCTTCCATGTATATCAAGCTAAAGAAACCAAACTTGGTGAACATTATCTGTGAAAAAACTACACTTTTTAAAATGTTTTAACCCTGAAGTATTTTTGTAAGGGGTTGAAATAATCAACCCCTATGACATTTTCGGCAAAATACACTCGCGTTAAACAGCTCACCTTTTTAAAAATGCATTGCAATACATTTATTTTTTTCTCATAAATCCTTATCTTTTCGAAAAAACTTGAAGAGATCAAAAAGTTAGTAAGTAAATGAATGGGGCTTTTTAGACATATTTTTTTTAAGGAAAAATTTTATCGAAAAAAAATTATAAGAAAAAATGTTATAGGCGTTGATTATTTCAACCCCTTACAAAAATAGTTCAGGGTTGAAAAAGTGTAGTTTTTTTGACAGATAATGTTCACCAAAGTTTGGTTTCTTTAGCTTGATACGCATGGGAGATAAAAAAGAAAAACAATTTTTTTTTAATATTTGGAGGGCCGTAACTTTTCAGGTTTAGGTGTTATTTAGATACACCCTGTATAAAAACAATATATATTTCATTGAAAAGGGCGAAAACTCCGCTGATACCTTTGTGAAATTGTAAAAAAAAATTAACAACACAGTTTAGAGTTTGTAAGGCTTAATATCAACCAATAAACTCAAAAAATTGATATCAGGCCTCCCTAAATGAAGAAGACACGTGATTATACCACTGTATCTTGAAAATGTATGAACTATTTTACTTAAAACTACGCTGTTATACGTTTATTGCTTTTGGGTCTATTTTATTTATATCCAGAAAGCCATGAAAAACAACTGACAGCTGATTGAAGGTCAGATGATGTCAAGAATCAAAGACACCATCCAAATCAGCATCAAACAACTGAAAATACAGCTATTTTATTACAGATTCTTTCCCTTAGCATTTAAAATGGATACAATACACAGGATCTATCAAACTTCTTCAAGTTATGAACTAAATCAGCTACTATTAAGACGTATGGAGATACTTGTCTTATTCTGATGATAGAATCCTTCCCATAAGCCGACGCGCTGTTCAGACAACCCATACTGTAACGTTAGACGCGTCGCCACTATTGTTTTACATACATAACGAGCTCCGTATTCCTTTGTTGAACACAACACTGAAAACCTCGAACAATGACAGGACTTTAAAAGGAAGTACTTAAACTGCGTAGCGCAAAGGTCGAGGTCAGACCATATCGATTCGAACCAGAAGGATGCTGCAAGGGCAGATCGGCACATCGAACTGGCGAACTCGTGAAACCCAACCGAATCCGTCTGGGTTCCTGATTTGCGGCCTCGGGGACCGCGTTCTGGCGTCCTGGAGGATGTGGAAATTGACTTTTAAAGTACCTTCGGGGATTATTCTAGCAGAAGCAGAGCCGCGAGGAGCATCTCCAAAGTTTAACAATTTTAAGTTGTTGTTTACATTCAGAAAAAAATGTTAGGTATCAACTTTGCAGCGTCGCCGCTAGATGTCGGAGTTTGTGTCTCACCGACACATGTTCAACGCAATGTAACCATGTCTGAAGTCTTAATAAACATGAAGCGAAGCATGATGGGTAAAAAGCGATAGTCCCGCTCGACTTCGCCCCATCCCATTCCTTCCAAGGATATTGTACGCACGTGAACGGTCTGTGTATGGAAACTGAATGGATTATTCTTTGTATTTAAGAATCCTGATGATAAAACTGATTGAAAAGGGTATAATTGCGATCATACCAGACCAGTAAGTTCAGTATCAGTATAAAGATCTAGATGTTTTGGATTTGTTTTGTCATTTTTAAATTGTAAGAGATGAAACGACAAAGATGTAGATGTTAACACCGAACTTGCCTAAACAAACTAATTTTTCTGTGACTATTTCTGAAAATGACAAATCAAGTTGGAAACAGAAGAAAACAAAGAGTAATTGCGTCGCTTCGCAGAAAGACATTGAAGATTGAAGTCAATTATAGTGTTAAAAGAGATATTCCACGAATATCCCCAATACCGAACACAAATGTTCTAAAATTATCAGACTATTTATAAGTGATTTTTAGACTATGGGCTTTTATTTCTGGATCTGACTCAGTTCAGTATTTTATCCGCGAAATTTTAGTGATTCAGATAAAATTTCAAAGCGTAGGGTTTAGCTGGAATCTTTGATGCAAAACGCGATATTTTATTTTCCATTTCTATATGTAGTTTATCAATTAACGTATTAGGAACTTGGGTGAAAATAATAACGACGCCATGTCATGTTTAATTTCTGATTCCAGTTTTAGAGATACAGGGTGTTAAAATTAAAAAGAGATGGATAACAGAGAGATTTATAATTGTCTGAAATGACAGACATGCTGTTAGTAATGGGTAACAAATACTAGTAATATTCTGTTTGTAATCGAAATACTGCAGTATTTTGCCCACATAAGCTTTTATGTATATTCAATAATTTCCAAGTGTTGTGCTGTGCAGTGATAATTAAACATAGTTTAGTAATGATGTCAATCAACAAACAAACAATACACGTCGTATATACAGGCTGTTACAAATTCGCTTCTCGCTACAGGGATCTCGGAAACGGTAAGAGGTACGAAGTAGCTTAAATGGGGGCATAGTTGCGTAATCAGGGAACCAACATTATTCCTCTAAAAAATCAAGGCTACCATGATTAGTTTTCGAAATATTTGAAAAAAAACGAAATTTTGGAAATCCGTTTTTGTTTCATTTTGAGGTGATTTTTGCCCTTTATCGAATGGCATAATCAATTTTTATATGTAACGTTTCGTTTCTCCAGGACCATCATCAATTTTTTTTTAAATACGACCCTGGAAATTTTATTACATTTTTCGCAAGCCTTCATGACCCCCAATACTGTACTGCCTCCGCCTGAACCAGATTCAGACGTTTTGTCTCGAAAAATTCATCTTCAATGTATTCGTTCTAAATTTATCTAATTTTTTTTAGATTTCTTTGTTTATTGAATTATCGTACACTGTAAGTATCGTTAGACCCTGTGAAATCCATCTAGTTATTTAAGCTGAAATGAAACAAAAACGGATTTCCAAAATTTTGTTTTTTTTTCAAATATTTCGAAAATTAATCTTGTTGGCCTTGATTTATTTAATACCCGAAACAATTTATAAGTGTGGAATTTAAGGCTTATCGATCTTTTCCACCGCAGGTCGACGCCGTTTCTTTGTTGGGCGCCTCTCAACTGAAACCAAAATCGGCTCTTACTCCATTTAAGCGATATGGCAATTACCCGTCGCAAAAAAATAGGACTCGTCGTGCGTGCGGCGTTTTCATTGAATCCGTACACGTATTAAATCGACCTTTAACGGTGTTTACCTCAATAAACAAGAACATAAACTTTTCTGGTCCATGGCCGATAAACATAAAGCAGGTCGGTTATGAATCACGCTCTTTTTTCGATACATCTGTCTCGGTTATATTTGTCTCGAATAGGATACAGTTTTTTGGTTTCTTTGTAAAATTCGTAGCCTAGACCGGTCGCAGTTTGTAAGTAAGTTCGTGGAGAAAAAGAGGATTATAACAGGGTGGTACGAGTTGCCGTTGTATGAAAATTGAATATAAAAACAGTTGAGTTACCTTCGCAGAGCTAGAAGTAATACAATTACCAGTGCCGTTTATTTTACGTCGCTGATGTAACAATCCTGTTTCTACAATCCCATATACGAATAGCACCAATGAAGATTTAATGTTTGTGAAAGTCTTCGCCTTTAGTTTGATCTATAACAGGACACAAGGAATTGTTTTACTTCAAAGAGCAAAACATAATACAGATTATGTAACGAAATTGTAACAATATACAATTTTCCTTGGAAGAAAATATACACTGCCAAAAATTTTTGCTACTCTTGATGACGATTTTTAAATCTAATATTTACAAAATTATGAAAAAAAGCAATAGGCGGGAAGTAGTAGTACTTGCAGTACTTTCATGAAAATTTAATTTCTATTAAAACTGCATAAATTTGTAGTATATAAATAACAACTAACAGTAGTAAAAAAATTAATCTATTTAATGCTACAACTTAATTGTAAATGTTTAAAATTAGGTATGTATAAATTTGAATGTTATCACGAGATGACGAACGTGTTGTAACGTCACTCAGTGCGACCTAACCTGTTTCTCGGCCGCCTACCATCTAATCTTAATTCGGTAGGAAGGAGTTCGGATATAACAATAAAATCCAAATTTTTTTTTACAAATCGGCTAAAAATATGTTATACAACAACACATCAACATGCGAAAGCACCACATAGTAAGGAAAAAATGTTATTAGCAATTTGCATCGCAAAAAATGCATTTTTATTTATTTTTTCTTCAAAATCTCGGTTAGATTTAGTACAAGATAGCATCACTCCAATTTTTTTTATTGCAATGATAATTTTGCACTTACCAAAAAATTATAAAATTTCTCATTTTGGCAAATGCAACGTAATTCTTTCTAAAATTCCTTATTTTAAATTCATGGAAAAATTATAACACAAAAGTAAATTGCACCATTAGCTGTGAAAATGTGGTTTTGTCAGAGTTGAAAGCACTGGTTTCTAGAGTCTATACTCATGCTGTCGGACCAACTGTCTCTGTCGAGTATCTCTCCGATCGCACTAAATGACGTCACGAATTAGCGCGGCAGTTTAAAACTTTTATGTTGGGCGCCAAATTTTATGAATTAATTTTTAGTTATCAGACATCTAAAAAATATATATATGCAAGTTGTCCATTGTTTAAAATAAGGGCAAAACAAACGAGGAATTTGGGGAGTGCACGCATTCATTTATTTTCCCATAAACGGGCAACTATATAAATAAGGTCGAGTTAAAAACTTGTTTAGGATTGTCCACAATGTCAAAAGCCAATATAAATAAGTTGCAATCATCTACGGTTACGCTGTGTTGGTCATAGTATCTGCCATTTGTACCCGTCGTTGGTAACCAAAGAATTAACAAAAAAATTCCTGGCCCAATAAGAAACTAGAGAAAAAATACCACTCTTTTTAAAAATATATCTAGAAACATTTGATGCAGAAATTACTTTATCAACTTAAAAATTTACATTGATCATTATGCCCCCTTTTTTGTTTCTAATAGTCGATATTCGGTTTTAAACGAACTAGTTTTTGTTACATCTACATCGAATTAAATATCAGGTATTGGATACGTGCAACACCTACCCACCTACCTGACATTTAGAAAGTAAAACGCTCCAATCTTAATAATTATAACCTCTTAAGAGAGCAACTTCCCAGTTTGAACGCTCTTTAAAAATTCGTAATTTTAAACACCACTGCTACAGAAATATGAATATCTTCTAACTTTCATTTAACTTTTTTTGTAAGTCACGTAAAACTTTCACATATGCAACGTAGTTCAACAAAAGGCCATCGATTATCGGCTCATTGAAAGACATCAATATTAAATTAATTATTAATTGGACGTTTCCAAACATAGCGGTGCACATTGTACACTCATTGACAGAGGTGTAAACATCTGGTAAACGTATTATACGGCGCGTGAAAAAACATGAACATAGCGCGAGGCTGATCGCGGGGTAATAGATGGCAAGTTTAATTGGTAGTTCTTACCTCGATGTGGTTTTACTTAGCCTTTGCATGGACTGTCTCCCCTCATCGTAAAAACCTGAAACCAAGAGTTGTTACTAGTGATAGAACTACAACTTTTTAATTTTCAAAATTTAAACCAGTCAAAAAATAAATAAACTATCCCTTTTATATCAGATACACTATTAGTGTCAATACCCAGAGCTTCTTTTGGCTTTGTAAGCTGTTTATTTTGTACTAGTGACAGCAGATCATAAGAACCTGTTCGAGATATACTTGTTCTCAAACTAAATCTAGTCTGTTTTAATTATGAAAGCAATTTAGCGCTTATAAAGTTTTTTTACCACTAAAACTGTACGATTATTTTTATATTACATTCGGGTAAACATAATTTCTTTGTTCCACTTCACGGTTTTTAGAAACTATTGTTTTAGTACAGCATAAGTACAAATATTGTAATCGGCGAAAACTTGTTCGAAAACTAGCCCGATCTCAGAGATACCAGAGATTACGAAGTAGATTTTCACGGAGCGTAACTGTTGAATTATGCAAATCAGTCGGTGATCACTACTCGTTTTTAGGAATCGCTATTTTGGAACACGAACAGTTACCTCAGCAGATAAAAATTTATTGGTTGTAAAGAAACCAAATGACGCTGTAAAACCGTTAAGTTTGTTTACCGCTTTATTTAAAAAAGATACGGTACTTAAAAGTATACGGATTAGGTGCTTATGGAGTGCTGCTAAGCGTATATCACTGTTGAGATGCTCGCTAATGACATCCTGTTTCGTTTCCATCGCACGAAAGTTATTATAGATTCCGAAAAAAAAAAGAATTTCCAACATTTTTCCTTGATTTTTGACAGTCTGTATTTAGGTAAAAAATGGTCGTATCGAGAATTAAAAAACAGCATTTTGAAGCTGTAAGATTCTAGTTTTTAGATCTTTCGGTCGAAAATTTTTAGAAGCTATACGGTTATCATGCAATTCTAAGAAATCGCGACAAAAAAATTTTGCAAAGTCCACGGACTTGAAAACATTTCTTTCAGCTAAGCCATTGCATGGACCAGGTAGTTTGTTTATTCAGCTTCTATTTCCTTTTTTTAAACTTTCGGTTTTTCATCGAAATATCGGACTTTTAATGCAAAAGGATACTTTTGTCTTCAATCATCGATATCTCGGCGGCAAATGGTGGTACAGTCGCAACCTTTCGGAAAACAATTTTTTTCATCTTTTACACGAATTTTAAAATAGGAAAAAAAAGGTAATTTATGGCTTTTTAGAAAATTGACGGCTAAATTAGAACTATTCACGAAATGGCTAATGTTAAGCATGACTTTTACCAAAGTTTACAGAACAAATATTCTGTAAACTTTGCTTTTACAGATCTTTATACCCAGAAGAACTCTGTGAAGTTTCATCTCGATCTAGCGATCCGTTTCTTTGTTTCAAACTGTCAAACTTTTGAAAAAATTAAAGGGTTACGTTTTTTGAGCTTAAACACTTCATAATCATGATTAAAATGAAATTTTTTTTTGAGTTTACACATATTTTTACCGCAAATAACGTGAATTTTAAAAAAAATTATTTTCGACAATTTTTTTCAAAAAAGGGTAGTTTTGAAAAAAAACTGTTTTTTAAGTGATTACAGTCTGCACAAAAATTAATCAGAAATTTGCCTCAAAAAACGGTATGAATTGGGGTCGAAATCTATTTTGGATCATCAACTTTAATTTTAATTCAATTAAAAGTTGATGAACAGAACCATAAGACGGAAAAGCCGAATCGTGCTGGAAACAATTGAATTTTCTTTTCCTCAATGTCCGGAAGGTTTTCAAAAAAAAAAAACTCGAAAATTTTTTAAAAAAATTTTCGAATTTTTTTTTCCATCAATTTAAACGTTATTTGTGGTAAAATTGTGAGAAAACCTGAAATTTTTTTTCTCTAATTTGACTTTTATATTTACATAAGTCGGCCTAGATTAACATATTTTGATACAAGAGATTTTTACGTTATCCACGAATTTTAAGGACACCCAAATTTGGACAAAACAAATGCTCCTTTACCTTCTTTCCTTAATTCTAAGTTCAACTACACTTGAACGTACACAATGAATTTTTATTTTTGGCTCTTTCTAAACTAGACGAAGTTACTTTCAAAGAATGTCTTACGTAGACGTTAACAAAATCACCTAAATAATAAGGTGAAAGTTTGCTAGGATTAGTAATGTTTATATAATGCACACCTTTTCACATAACAATAAATTTGCTTTAATGTATTTAATTTATGTGGTGAAATTTCGGCGAAGATTAAGATCTACATAGAACCTAGATGCTCAAAAGTGAAAATAATATTATTCGCACTAAATATAGTTTAACATTATTTGCATTTTAATTAATTTAGGGAGGAATTCGATAGTGATAGTGGACCACATGAACCAAAGATAGTAATTATTTTGCAATGTATAAAAGTATTTAAATCTTGAAGTGATAAGGAGGTTTCTCTATTTACTTCGTTCAAATCGATTTGAACTTTCATGCCCGGATCAGCTGAATCGAAAGCGCCTCATAGTTTTAACCTCAAACAGGTAGATGTAATTTTTACGTCAAATCGTAACATTCTCACACTAATAACGCATTACCATGCTTGTCATGTTCAAAATATTACGAAATTCAGTGTATAACCAAGCTAAAATTTTGCTTATTCATGAAACGTAAGTTCAACATCTCTTTTAAGGCATAATTCTGGAGTTCATCGCCCCTTCATTCATTATTATTCTTCACGGTCCGTTGCTCAAAAACTGCTTTTACGGTTTAAAGACACTAGATTCCAGCAATATTTTTTTAAAAGATTTTATCGATACACGTGTCACCAGTGTTACAAAAAAATAATAGCGATCTGACGGCGATTTGCTAAAAGCCGGTGATTACACGTTGACTCTCGTGTATTTGACAAATAAAAAAGTTGCATTCATGCAGCAATAAGCTGATAAATAATTCCAGTTATCTGTAACAGCTGTTGGCTGCGAAATGAGCAAACGCAGCGCATTCCCGTAAAACCGCACCGGTTGTTTGTAATGGAAACGAAACGTGAACAATAAGAATTATTCAGTGGAGGACACAGTAATCATAATAAAGTAATAGTGTTTTGTTAATTTTGACCCGAAGGAATGTCTGCGTCATAGACAGTTTGTCTGGTTCGGATGAGTCACGAACTGTATTTGATACTACGATTTTACACATGACTAGGTCCCAAGGAAGACGAGATGACGGAACAACTTATGGATTTCGTGGGATGAAACGCTGTTTCGTATCTACGCGATAAGAATCTGCAACTATTTGAAAGAAATATTCTATATTTATTTTCTCTAAACGCAATACAAGATTTTTTAAATTAAGACAATTAAATTTTGACATACTAAGTTGGTGATTGTCATAAACTCCATATAATTCTCATTTACACTCTGGTTTTCTAACTACGAGGTCTATTCCGAAGATAACCAAACTTTTTGCACTATTCAAAACTTACCCTCTATGGCTACGGCATTAGAAATTTACAATTTTGTGAAAGTAAGTGTACCAAACTCCAAACTTATATTTAATTACATAATTAGGACACTTGTATTTGTCTTTTGATAAAGATAATGAAAGAGAGTGAATTAAATGGGGTTTTTATCAATACATTTTAAACTTTTATAACATCTATTAATTTTGTTGATCAAAGCGTAATAATAAAGAATTAAAAACATAATAATACCAGATTTAAATTATCGATAATACCTAGTTCTTAAAAGTAATACTTGTGGGATAATCACTGTAATATTCGCATTGTTCTATTAACTGTTAAATTAGTGTAATGTTGCTTGTCAAACTGATAAATTATTGGTTTTGTTGGTAATCTAGTTATTAGCTGTACATAGCGAAAACCATAATCACCAACTAACAAAAATGAAATGCTTTAAAAAAATCTACGAAACGAAAAGCGAACATTTCCAGCATTTTTCCCGATTTTTCCTAGGAGAGAAAGATAAAGGTTATAATACACAAATCACAACAAAGTATAGTCTTTCCGAAGTCAGTTAGTAATTAAATCACGTGATTTGAAACCTCTGGTTCAAATAAAATACCCCCTTTTCTCTTGAAAGATTGCATGGGGGTTTAAGTTCTCCGTTTACAAACATTTTAAAAACTTGTTTCTCCAGAAAAACTCGAACTTTTTTAGGTTTTAACAATGTATACCTTGAACTTGAACAATCCTACTGGAATCGTTGCAAAAAATTTGTTGTTACGAAAGTTTCTGTTCAAATAATTACCGTTGCAACCAGTGGTGTTCCTCAAGGACCCAACTTAGGGCTCTTGTTAGTTTCAATGTTTATTAATGATTTGTGTTACGTTAGACCGTTATTAAAAGTGGACTTAAGCCGGCAACCAACTACACAGGTATGTATGCAGCCATTGAGAAAACCATTTCCACACATTCGCAGTAAAGCAATAAGAAATAAAGCATCCAGTTAGTATTCCGCCCGGTTGCGTGCAGCCTTGAAAACGCAGAAGCTTTATTCTCTGGACAACAGCGAGCCTTCTAGTCAAAATACGACCCCGTTCATCCGAATTCCAAATTCGCCGGTTGAATAATTGAATAGGTACGGCATCGTTATAATTTCAGAGACGCGCCCTGTATAAATTAAACAGTAATTACGCTCATGCCGCGACCATTGTTATCCGCGGACTTACTCTGAATAAAAATTAAAATTGCTCATTGTTCGGTAACAGTAAGTAAAGCGCGATAATTATGCCGCGGTTACTCGCTAGTGAAATTCACTGTTAACAAGCGGGTACTCGCAATCGCGACCGGGTAAACAATTAAGGCGACAGCCGAAGAATATAAAAATAAAAATGCTTACAACGTAAGGTAAGACGCTCGAAGCAGTGGCGTTACGTTGACAGGTCAAGGAACCAGAGTATTGGACGCTTTGGTATTGATTTTAGCGAGCTATCAGCGTCCAACTAATCTAGTACCACATAAATGAGAAATTTAGTATTAGGGTTAGTTTGAAATGCATAAAAAGACTTCTAATAAC